GTGCTGTGAAAACTATAAGGAAAGCCAGAAAATATATAAATACCGAAATATGTATGAAATATTTATTCCCATTTTTGCTTAAAATTTTCAATAGGAATTTGGATTAGGGAGGTGATAAACAAATTGTTCACTAGATTTCGGGCGTTCCCAGCGAGGAAACTATTTTCCAGGATTGCTGAGGAATTCCTGGCCAAAAAACGGGCTGAATTAATCGACTGGCCGGAGGCAGAGGGTCGGTCTGGTATTGTCTTGCCTTGATTGCGCCACGTGCTCTTGCATATTCAGCTGGAATTTCGGCAATGCATGCATTTGGCAACTTGCAACTTGCAAGTTGCAGCTCTTGAATAATTAACCGAATCTTGATGGTCCTCGAATGGGCAATCAGATGGTCTGGCATCTAATCCTGTTTGCGTCGGCATTAGGGGGTTAAGCCTGCGCTGGCTACAAAAATTCAATTGCTCAAGAGACGCAAAGCAATAGCAGCTGTCAAAGCTTTAAGCGGCAACCTTCGTTATTTCCAGCATTCCACTCAATCTCTTGTTGAGTTTTCCTCACAGTCCCATACCTCCCTTCCTATTTTCCCTTGGGTTTTCTGCTTTTTCGCTCCCATTCGTCATCAGAGTCGTCATCTGGTGCAGTGGCAGTCGTAGTAGTTCCTGAAAATTGCAGCAATGTTGCATGTCAGCTTACAAGCGCACTTTTTATTGTAATGTCGTATTATAACTACGCTGATGCTCCAGTACTCTCTGGAAGACAATCTGACATAGCTCGCTAATTGGCAGCTGCAGGATGGCAAAAAAGGATGCCAGCAGGATGCTGATGGCTGATGGCTGAAGAAGCACTAGAACAGGCGAAAGCACCCTTCAAATCAACATCAAATCGCAGCCTCTGACGAAATGGGTTGAATTTTAAAGACCCTCACAGTTTTGGCCCATAAATTTCTTGATGGCTTTTTAGCCGCTCTGCCATTGCCGGTGGCCTATTATTATTATTATTATCGGCCCGGGCACCTGGCCCATAGTCATAGCTGGGGCTTTATGTTCTTGGCCACTTTTCTGGCCACACGGATTTCCCGAGCACACACACCGATACCGCTTTACCGGAAAATTGGGTGGTCGCTGGGCGTTCGGGTGGCCAATACACGTAGACAGGCTTACGCATGCCGCAATAATCCATGGCATAAACATTGGCAAATCCGTTTGCGTTTTGTACAAACATGGCTAAAACGTATTGGCAACAAAATTGGGCTAAAGCCGAGGCACAATGAGCCGAGTCAACAGAAAGAGTCGGACGATTATTTTGGCATGTGGATGCGTTTGTTAGCATTAAGTCATAAAAACGTGCTATTCTGAAAGAGGGGTAGATGGCGATGGAGTCCCTGGCAAAGGGGTTCAGTGGGTTAAGAGGAGCTGAAACGAGGGGCTAGAGCAACTAAGGGGTCCAGATTTGGGGGCCAAAGAATAAACGACGATTTTTCGGCATGGAGCATCGAGTATTTTCTATGGGATTCCGTAAGCTGAAGGAGCTTCTCCAACTGCCATTGTCAGTCTGTTCATCGTTTCGAGCTGAAAAGTCTCTGTACTTCTGCACCAAAAGAAAAGTGTGTCGCAAACAGTAAATAATATCATTTGAAACCAATCTAGAAATAAATTAAGCCACTTTTTAGAAACTTAACTATAAAATCTTATATAAAGAGACTTTAATTAAAAACCTTAATTAAAAACCGTATATCATAAAAGAAACCCTATTAAAAAACCTTATATAACTAAAGAGACACTTAAATGCAAATTTAAAAAGAAATGATTAAAATCCTTTATCTAATTTTCTTTTAAGAGAACAATAAAAGTGCATTTAAAATACTGAAACAATTGTATCTTAATAAAATATAAATATTCAAGTACAACAGTAACTTCCTTTATTTGTAGTAAAATATATGTGCTATTTGCTCTATGTGTAGAGGGACAAGGGGGGTTTCTTGTGCTCTTGGGGTAACATGAGCAGGCCAAAGCAGAGAAAGGAGCAGCTCAGAGGGATGCTGGGGAAATGGGGGGCAGCATCCACACAATAGAACGCTTTGGGCCAATTGTAGGGACAAACTGACATTGCTTGCTATTCCACCTGCATTCTCCCCCCCTGTCAGTGCGACCACCCCCTTTCCACAAGTGGCTGCTTTGCTATGCTGGTCGAAAGCCCCCTCAACCCCCCATCCTCTCTTGTGTGGCCGCTGGTGCCTTTGTTTTGCTTTGAAAACTCTCAGCAATTTTGTGGTTCCTTTGTCTTGACTTTGGTCCATTCATTGACAGCTCCTAATGCAATCTCACCTTGTGCTCCAGCACTTTATAAAGTTATCCTTGGATCTTCAATGGGGGAACCTGCTACACAGGCTTGTGGGCCAATTATCGGCTAAATATAATGGAGATATCCGATAAACCGATTGCCCCGCAGCGGCAGCCGAAACATTTTCCACTCGATTGATCTGCTGTCAGAAACAATATGGAAAGCCGACGGGATTATGCCGATACCGTAACCGTTAACATTACCGTTAAAGCTCCCTTCCTCCTCCCCCACACACTCCACCCCCCATTCAAGCTAAACAAATATTTGGATGGGCCCAAAGATGGGGGCCTCCATCATGCAGCATCTTTTGTTTACCTGCGAGCATCGTCGATAAATGTATCTATGCAAATGTGGATTCGGATTTGGATCATAAATCATCCAAAGTCGAAGACGAAATCGGAATAGAAGGGGCTTAAGGATGGCCATGAAATTGAGAAATTATCCCAAAAGTTTTGTGCTTAATTCATTTGTAATTTCTCTGGGGAAGGGATTTGAATTGGATTTCGTATTTCGGATTATCTGATTGTGCTTGATTCGCTTAATCCGTTGCTAACTACTGTGTGGCAACTTTCGGAACTTTCGGGTGCATCCTGTGCGTAGTTTCCATGCAATTGGCCACAGTAATTTCACTTGGCTTTTATCCCCCTTCAAGGGCCCTATCGCACCCCCTTTTCCCCTCCCCCTAAACGTCATTTCCGACACTTCGGTCTCTTTTCCACCACAGCGCCACTCCCCCTCTCGCTCGCACGCACACACACATCCGATTAGCAATTTCCATGCACTTCAGAGATTTCATTAGCCACCGTCGTTGTTGTTGTTGTTGTTGTCGTTTTCCATTTGCCATTGCGTGCCTGGCTGGCTTTTCTTCTTTGATTTTCCTAACTTACACAGGCACAGGGAAAAAAGTGATTTTTCAAAGATTTAATTCGATGAGGCTTTATTTACGAAAATTACATTTTAATTCAATTTAAGCAATAAATGTTTTTAGTTATTTTAAATTAAGCTTAAGCTCTTAGATTTTTTTGCATAAATTATGAATTTTAGATTAAAAAAAAGAAACAAAAATTCGTCATTGTTTTTGTAAGATTAATTCCAGTTTTTAGGGCCAATTCCATTTTAATTTCAATTGCCTATCTTCCTCAAAGTATTTCCTCACATTTCTTGTAAACAAATCCAATTAGTTTTTGAATCGAGGGGCCTGTCTGTCTGTCAATTCCAAGAAGCCTGTGTTTTTTCCTGTGTTCCTGAGGTTTTTTCTCTACGCACTCCAGCTTCCTATCGCACTCGAGCACTTTCCATGCATTTAAACAATTTCCCTGCTATATTCCGTTTTACAAATGTTTTTTCTTCGCCCACCGCCCGCTGCGTCTTGAATTCGTTTGTTGTTGTCAAAAATGTTGATGAAAATTTCATAAATTTATTTGCTGTTTTTCTCCTAGTTCCTGTTGCTGTTCTTGGCCCAGTTGTTGTACTTGTACTTGTAGTTGTTGCACTTCATTCGTTCGTACGCTTCTGAACCATTAACTACGCCACTCGTTCGCTTTTGAGCCAAGAGCAGCAGGATGGGGGAGATAGAAGGGGGGTAAGGGAGGGAAAAAGGATTCCAAAGGCTTCCAAAGTGGCTGCGGGTGGGTAGGGGAGTAAGTAAGTCGAGTGGGCTAGTCAAGTTGCACCATATCGTAAAATATTTAACGCTTTTAAGAGTCCTGCAGTCCCGGGCAGGTAAGTTGCTACGGTTTCGATGCGTAAGTCATTTTCATCCGCTTACGAGACGGGTGGCCATTTGTCTATGTCTACCCACTTGGTGCCAGCATTTCATATTGAATTTTTCACTAAACATACTCTTACACTCAGAACAAATATTGTAAGCTGAACTTAAAATTAATTTTTGTACTTTTAAAAATGAGATGCTAAAAATGGCCAGGATCAGTACGAATGAGAATCGCATTTTAAAGTGCTTTAACTGGGAAAATGTGTTATCTTTCATACCTAACAATCGGCAAAAGTAACAAAGGTATTCAGCAATGTTTGCTCAGCTTTTTAATGTTAATTTGTCTTTTGCACATTTTATATTTTTATTCTTTTTTTAGAGCAATTCTTAAAACCTTTCTTTTTACCTACCCAAACAGAGAGGGCGAATTAGTTGCTGTTGACACAACTGAAAACTTATAATGTGCAAAATTTGAAGCCCACTTTTGTCGGAAACGTGCGACTTTGTTTAAATAAAGTTAAACGGGAACTCCTATATTTAAAAAAAGCTGCTCGGAAATTTACGTTTTTTTTTTACCAATTGTTTTACAAATAAGTAAAGTTAGGGCTTTTTTGCTTTTGTCTAGCAAAGTAGCTAAGTTCTTTGCTATTTGTAGACAATACTAAAAGAGTAGAAAGAGAACTTTTTTGACGTTCAAAAATGGGAATGAACTTAAGGAAGTAATTGGATATCTTATATTTATGCTATCTTTTTTCGCGGTAATATGTAAACTTTTAGGTAGATAGTTCTTAAACTAAGTAAGTGAATAACGATGATCTTTGCCTGGTGCTGATAAAAATATTATTTTATTTTATTTATAAGAAAATTGATTACAAATAAATATTTTTTAAACTTATAAATTCCTTTACTTCTGCATAACTTCTGTTTTCCAACGAATCTGGTGGGTTATCATCTAGGTGCGACGGTGAGTCTTCCGTGTGCGATACTCTTTGGTTTTTTTTTCTTCTTTGGTGCGAGTGCGATGTTCGCTTGGCCTATTCTTACGTGTGGCGCACTTTCTCAGCAACCTCGATATGCGGGCCAGTAGACGGTTACGCTCGCGCTTCCACTTGGACTCTGGTGAAAGGGTTGTATGAGAGGCGGGCTCCGCGGTGGTGCCGGGAACTGCGGATGCAGAAGCCTCGGTAGTGGCTGCCGTCAAGGCGGAGGAGGCGGTGGTGGTGGTGGTGGAAGCGGCGGCGGAGGCCGTGGACGCCTCAGTTGTTGCCGCTGTGGCACCAGATGCATCCCTGCCCAGGAGCAGGACACAACCGAGGATGGCCAAGATCAGTACAAACGAGAATCGCATTTTGATATGCTTGAACTGGAAAAATATGTTGGCTTTTATACCCAACAATTTGCAAAAGTAGCTTAGATAATTAGCAATGTTTACTTACTTTGATTTTAATTTGGTTTTTGCTCACTTTGTATTCCCATTCTTTTTCTAAGATCTTTAAGGAGGTCAAACAAGTTGTTGTTGACACATCTGAAAATGATAGTGTGCAAAAATTGAAGCCCAGTTTTGTCGGAAACGTGCGACTTTGTTGAAATAAAGCTAAATGGGAAAATCCCCATCTTGCATTTTTTATCAGTCGTTTGGCAAAAAGTTGACCTCAAAACCAGATCATAAAAAAAAACTTCTTCTTAAAATTTTCCAAACAGCTACAAAAAAGGGTTTAAAATATGATTTAAGTGCAAATGTTTTCTGTTTTTTTTATACATACAAAATAAAAAATCGTTATTAACTGTTACACACAAATTCAATGTAATGGTTTAGTATTTTTTGCTGCATTTTTTATAGGGCTGGCATAAAGGGCTTTCAGCTAAATTGATGCAACCGCAGTGGCGGTTCCCGTAAATCAGTTCTTGAATTTATAACATGGTTTTTCTCCATGTACCCACACACACACACCCACACAGGTGGGGTCTGAAAATATCGATGTATGAATTTTCCGATTCCGACCTTTCCCCCAATAAATTCTCGTGGCAACGCATCGAGTCGGACGTGATTTTAGCTTCACGCACGCACGCCGCACCTAAACAGGGGAGTTAGTTTCATTTAGAGGGGTGGCTCAAAAGGGGGCGTGGTCCGGGGATGTGTTACGTTGTCCCATAGCCATCCGCCCACTTTTCCCCCTTTTGGCATTGCTGTTTTCTATGTCATGGCACGTATTTTGGATTTCTGCTACATTTGAACTTAATATTTTCCCCGTCTCTATTGCTGTCTCGTTCCTTTCGGGGCTGTAAGTGTGTGTGTTGGCTGGAAATTTGCTCGCCTTTTTGGCAACATCTCTGTTTTAGCCTGGGGAATTTCTTTGGCGTGTTAATGCCTTTTGGCTATCAATTGGCCATTATGTGCCGGGGGTTTGGGGCCAAGAGTCCCGGCACCCGGACGACCTTCTTCTTCCGCCACATAACCATTACCAGTTTGTAATTCCGTTGTGATTTGGGATTAGGATTAGGTCTTCTCCTGGCCATGGCCAGTACACCAGAACTCCAGCACACCAGCACACCGGGATGTTGTCCAGGCACATGAACACGCCATAAAAATATCTTAGCAGAAGGCAATTGAATAAATTGTGACCTTTACATTGATTCCACTGCCGCATCATCCTTGGCTGCATTCCCTTTTCCCATTTTCCCCAATCCAGGACAGTCTCTCAAGTAAATAAAAGCTGAAAAACCATTTATTTTCCTTTGACTTTTGCACCCTTTTTGCCTGTTTTTTTTTTGTTGCTGCCCCTGAATTCCCTGATCCCCGTCACGTAAGCTGGCGAACAGTGTTATAAGTCCATTTCGGTTGTACCAACATATCTGCAGCGACCAGTTCGTGTGTGTATAGCTGGTGTCTCTGTTTGCGTGGGTCGGTTTTTTGCTATTTTTAAATCGAAATATAAATACATGTTGGTTTAGCCACTCGGCTAGTTGCTAGTTGTTGGGTTCCGCCATTGGAGACCGGGTTTTTGTCGCACCAAACATACACACACGCATAACACAAGCTGAGCTGACCACAAGTCGGTCTATTAATACGCGCAAATAAGCCGCTTAATTAGTCTTTCATTTTCGGGGCCGCATCGGCTGCGGCGGATGGGAGCCACATGGATTGCGGCTGCCACCGACTGTGGCCAGTAGCTGTCGGATTTGCGGGCCAACGTGGCGTATGCATAATGAAGATGATCGAAGCGATTCAGCTACGCGTGCGGGCCACCAAATCGGACGTTAATTAAATGCTGCCATAATAGGATGAAAACTTTTGCTCCCATACCATACTCACTTATGCTCCTCCTCCCATTATGCGGCTCGTTAAGCTCCCGCATTGCCCCCTTAATGAAATGAGAAAATCGCTTAGTGCACACACGGCTTCTTTTTTTTTGGTTTTTTCTTTAACCATAACCATATTTTCATTTATTATGGAGAAACATTGTTTGTTTATTTTTGCATTTGGTTTAAACAGAAAAACATACTTGACTCTGCTTAGGTTAGCTTCATTATCCATTTACCATTTACGATTTACCAGTTTTCGTTAGTTTAATAATTTTCTGTAATTTCATTTACTATTCTTGGTTGAACCGAGACCGGATCGTTGATCCGTTCGCTCTTACTGCTTAAAAGTCTTATCAAGACCGCTTAAAACCGACCTCTAAATGTACAATTATCAAGTATGAATATTTTACACAGTAACTAGATGATGGACTACGTAGAACAATTTCGCGGCTGACAACCAGATAAAAACTTATCCATATACACTGAATAACCATCTATATATAGCCGGGGTAACCTTCCCCAATTCACTGCTCACTTCTCCTTTCCTCTCCTCGTGCAGGGTGTATGATTTTAGTATAAATAAATAAACAATCGAGGTCCTAAAATATTTATTTATGTTTGTGTATTGTATATACAATCGGACATTTCTGCTTCAATGAACCCAAATGATACTGTAAACCAAAAGGTTTTCAATAATTGCTGACTTTTGGCCGGTCTGTGGTGATTATAAACCTGGGCTAAAACCAAATGAATTTCAAATGAGATACAATGACAACACTGCTTTTTTGGGTGAGCTCAAAAAACAGCTGCTCTTTAGTTTAGTATGCTCTTGAATTTCTGAATTTCTGGCTATGGATAGTGCTTTTGGTTTGCCTGGACTCTTCCTGTTGACTGTGGTTGATTAAAAGTTCCTTCGTAATACTGCCCGCCTGCCCAAGGGGATGTCTTATAGATAATACTCGTTAAAGGACACACTGTATATGTACACTAGTTCGTAAGACGCTCCTCCGCCCTCATTAAATGCACCTGGGGAGGAGCGGTTCTCAGTCCCAACTTGGCCGGGACTGTTGCTCAGCGTTTTGGAGTTCTTTCATTTCGATCCTTAGCCTTTAGCCCTTAGCCGCATCAGCTCCAGCTCCAGAGACCAGTTAAACCGGCGGCCAAGTTACCCCAAAACCAATTCAGTTTCCAGTGCCAACGCCAGTCGGGGCTCCAGTTCCAGTAGTTGCAGCCGTTGCCGTTGAAGTTGCAGTTCCAGGCGACGGCCGCCACCGTCATCGAGATCCTGGCGGCAAGGACGAAAGGCACGGAGGTGGCTCGAAGGGGGCGCAGGCTGCTGGCGCTGCTGTTGCCGTGCTGCATGGCGGCCGGATGCTCCCCGTTGATGACGTGCACCACCACCGAGGCGGAATCTGCAACGAGTGGGTGGCGAACGGGAAATGAATGTGGCGGGTGGAAATGCCGCAGGTCACAAAGTCCCATTAATTGCCCCGGGGCACACTCGCAAAATTCGTTGCCCTAAAGCTGCATAGAGCTGAGGAATTTATATTGGAAAAGGAACAACAAAACGGGGCAAAGGTACATATAAGATTGTATCGATTGGTGGGCTCTAGGCCAAATGAGTCTTAATCAAACTTTAGAATTTGACACTGAATAAACTTTTTTATTATTTCCCTACTTGCCCTACATTTAAGTTAAATGTTAAGTTCAGTTCACTGCCTTTAAAGTACTTGTAATTATCACACCTTCTAAAAATGTATTTTGAGTTTACATAAAATAAAAATAGGAACTCCAAAGGTTAATAGCTATTCATATGTGGGGTTTCCCTCCTCAGGGAATTGCTGTCAACACCCATTTGAAAAGCTGACGCACAAAGACAGCGTGTTATTTATGTACAAAACGTATCAATAACTTTGTACGCCCACCAGGAAAACTCTGTCTAATGAACAATCAGTCATGGTCTTAATTTCACTTCCGAGCGGCTCAAAAGTTCACAAGACTTGTGAGGAGATTGTTGCTATTTTGGGACGGCGTGTGTTTAGATTAAAAATTGACGACATACTTAGGACTTTCTTAACTCTCTGCACAATTAAATATTAATCTCCACTAAAGTGGGGCTTTTAAACTATTTCCCCCACAAAAATCCTTTTCATTTACTTGTATCTTTTGGATATTTTTTGGCAATCAAATTTTTCGAGTGTGGGTGGAGCTGGCAGGTGGGAAAACTACTCACCTGAGCTGCTCGGCGAGCACGTGTAGTTGCCCGAGTCCGCCGGCGTGGCCTTGGCGATGAGCAGCTTGCTGGTCCGCGTGGAACGCTCCGTGATGACGTTGATGCCACCGCGCTGCGAGTAATTCATGACCCGCTTGCCCTTGTACCAGTAGATGAACGATGGCGGCACCGGCGACTGCATCGCCAAGCAGGTGAGATTGATGTCGCTGCCGCTCTTGATGAAGAGCTCCGCATTGCCCAGGATCTTGGCCCGCGACACTGCCGTTGAAAGGTAATAAAAAGCCACACGGGGCAGGCCATTAATTAGCACTCCGCCCACTTAATGGCCGGCTAACAACTCCCAGCACCCACCCTCTTTGGCTCGGCTTGGCTCGATACTCACCCACCACGTTGAGGCGGAATCCCTGGCTGATCTTCGGCTCGGTGGACACCTGGCACTCGTAGGTTCCCGAATCCCTGGGCTGCGGCGATGAGATGCGCAGCGTCCACTCGTCGGAGCCCTCGGAATGCAGCGACTGGAAGCGCTGGTCGTTTGTGTAGGTCAGAATGCCCACCGTCAGGATGTGTAGGTCGCGCTTCCTTATCCAGGACACCTGGCGAAGAGGGAAAAGGCCATTAGGACCATAATACATCATGTCGGTAAAATATTTATATTTATATTCCCTGACATTCAGGGGTATATTTAATAAAAAATATCAATTATCAGAAAATCAAAACTAGCCATCTTGTTGTTTCTTTTAATTGGCTCAGCATTTTTCAACTGTGAAATTGCGTTGGTTTTTTCAACAGAAGGGGAAAAAATGAATTCAATCTAACTTTTGTAACCACTTGGCACAAGGAAAAAGTTGACCTACATATTCTTGAAAACGTGTATACAAATTTAATAAAACTCTTTTTTGGGCTGCTTTGCTGGCCTGAAAAAGGAAAATGCATGCAGCTGTCAAAGTTGCAGATGAAAAATTATTTCGTGCTCCAAAGGGGAGTGTTGCTTGCTTTCGTACACATTATGGAAATGTTTCTATATTCGTGCAGTGATATTTTATATGACACACGAAAGGGGTGTTTAATTGCATATTGTAAGTGGCGCTTAAATATTTACACAGTCGAGATTATCTAACCAGTCAATTTTTAGTATTTATTGAATATTAAATTGGAACAAATAGGCTCCCTAAATATGTTTGCTTATGACTTGTTCCCACATAAAGATATAATATTATAGGAAAAGTTTAGGTGACGAAATAAGAACTTTTCATGTGATGTTTAGTGAAGCAAATCCCAAATCGATCTGTTTGACTAATCCGCAAATTAATAGCAGAATTTATCTTATAAATGCTCTTATAATTAGCTGGATTTTTATCAACGAATAAAAATATTTAAAGTCTCCATAATTTTAATAATAATATACTCTGAAAAAAAAAACTTTTTTTCAGATGGCTTAAAGATCAAACTTTATGACATCGCCCACATAAAGATATTATATGGAAGCAAAAGTTTAGGTGACGAAATAAAAACTTTTCACTTGGTATTCAGTGGGGCAAATCCCAAATCGTTCTGCTTGGCTAATACCCAAAATAATAGCAGAATTGCTCTTTTATATGCTCTTATAATTAGCTGGGTTTTTCTCGAGAAACAAAAGTGTGTGGCGGCTTAAAAGGATTCCTGCCACTCGTTCTTTGTGTTAGTTGCCAGAATTGTGGCACCTGAAGGATCCTTTAGCTGCCGAGCAAATTAGGCAACTTTAAATGGTTGCCCAAAGTTTTCCCATTTGTGGGCGGGGAAACTAGAAATTCATTAATTGCCTGTTTCGGCTTTGTCTGGACTCTAATTTATGGCTGCAATTGGGTTACTTAGTGGGGCTCAGTGCGAAATAGTTTCGTATACATTCAGGATCTCGTGCTTATAGGGTTGCCGCTGCCAAGCTGCCAGGCTTCCAAGCAGCCATGAGAAAATGAAGCTCTCGTTTGTGCACTGCTTAATTTGCTCGTTTATTTGGGTTCAATTAATTATGGATTAGTGCTTGGCCAGCCGTGCTCATAAAGAACCCGCTTGATTTATATTCAAATTAAAATACATTCATTAACCGGTCGTTCGTTCGCTAATTTTCCAATATTCAATTAAAATTAATTGCATTTCCCCAGTGCAAATAAGTTCAAGGCGAAACTTTGGTTAACACCGTTATTATTCGCTTGGCCCAGAGAAGCCACAAAAAAGAGAAACCAAACAATTAACACATTCGTAATGAAATTCGCATTTGAAATAGTGTTTTTATATTGCTTACTATACTGAATGATTGATTAATGCAAAAAAAGATAAGTAAATCTAATAAATTGGAAGGCGTCTGCGGAAAATAATCGCTTTTAGCTATTAATTTACACAAAAAATGTAAACAAAGCCGATTTTCCATTGAAATATTTGTCGATTAACAATATTTTCAATTTTTATTATAAAGAATATTTTAATCTCACAAAACAAATTATATTTAATGCAATTAAAATAAATCTTATATTTGTGCGATTAATAAAAAGTAGATACACACACAAGATCTGAAAAGAACTTCCCTATAAAGCAACTGTACAATCCCAAGTGAACTAGTTCGTTTCACTTGAACTACATTTTCCATAAGTGATTAAGCTTCGTTTAGTTTTCCTTCGGCTTTTCCTTTGAGTCTGCCAAGCCACCCCTTGAAGTATGCAACGAAATGCGAAAAATTCCATTTAGAGGCAAATTTTCATGTCGTGCATATATTGCGACAATCAATTAGCACGGAACTTGGGGCAAGGACTTTGAGTGACTGGAAAATGAATCCCGAATCGGGATTCGTGCAGCATGCAGCATGCTGCCACATAGAGAACGAAGAACGAAGAACGAGAAACGCCAACGTGCTGGAGACACCGCCAATTAGCCGCATATAACGGGAGACAATGCAATCCCTGTGCCGGAGGATTAGGGACACAGTTCAGAGTTGGTCTCCTCGGGTCCCTGGGATCCCTCGGATCCCTCGAATCCACGACTCCAGCCCGGCGTTAATTACTCAATTCAACTGACTTGCTGAAAGTTGGGCGGGCGAACGAGCGTGGCTGACATCGTTGTCGCTTCCTGGCGGCGAATCGGGGGAATCGGGGGTAACGGGGTCTCCGGGGGGGCAAGACACGGACAACGTAAAATTTATTACACCGCATAATTGCACAGCCACAGAGCGCTTGCTTGGGACAAAAGGTTGAAAGGGGGCGGTGGATCAGGGGTGAACCAGGGGTGACTCAGGGGTGGGTCAGGGGTCAGAGCTGAACAGGCCCTGCTTGTGTTGTTGCATTGCTAACAAATCGCCCGGAGCGGAAGCGAAGCCGTGTTACAAATGTGCAAACCAGAGCAAGCCAAACACAAAGTGCTATTGGGTGTTGGAGCGCATTCAACCCACAGACATTTAGGGATGGCAAAGGGGAGGGGGGCTTTATAGGGAGGTCCAACCACCAACTTTATGGCGTAATCTTTTAAAAGTAATCTACAAATCTGCCACACGACCGCCGCAGGTCGTTTGTTTTGCCTTATGCCTTATGCGAATATAATGTCGGGAGCCCCTGGAACGCGGGCATATTAATTGCTAAGGGGGGGAGCTGTGACCCCACTTACCGCTCGATCGCCCAGATTCCGCACCCGGCAGTGCAGAAGGGCCGCCTGACCCACGGTTGCGGTGACCTCGCGCCTCGAGGAGTTGTCGAAGTAAGGCTGCGAGTATGGGGTTTCCCAGTAGTGCGGCGGCACCTCGCCGCTGACCAGGCCGCAATCTGTGGACAAACAAACAAACGGAGGATACGATACGGTTAAGGTCCCATTAATGCATGCACAGTTGCGAAAATATCACTTAAATTGGCCATCAATTATGCTCTCTCTTGCAACTGAATATCTGAGTGAGGGTCATTTTTCATTTTTCAAATAAATAAATAAAAACCTTTTGCCAAATGAATTTTTGCTCGGTCTTAAATCACTTGCGAAAATCTCTTTTTGCTATTCGATTAAGAAGCTATTGAAAAGCTCTTTTGGTTTGAATTGAGCTTATCATATCTGCTCGAGCCATCAGTGTCAATAAGTTTGATTCAAACCTGCTTGAAATGAGCAATGACAATTTGGACAAATTTGAATGGTATTTAATGGCAGGGTATCGAATTGCAATGGTTATTAAATCTTTTGTAAAACAATAATTATTACAGGTAAGAGTATACAAATTTTAATATTAAATAAATCAATAATTACTCACGAAAATGTAGTCAAATGTAATACAATATCTGATTGTGTTCTTTTATTTCAAAGCTACATATTTTCATATATATTTTTATACAATTGTAAAATGATATTATTAATACCATTTTTTTTTTTAATTATTTTAATTTAAAAAAGAAACCTTGTCTCTATAGCTTAAAATTTAAGCCATTTCATGTTTTTAATTTATTAAGTTTTCCCATTCATTCAGTCATTCATTGCTCTTAATTATTACTGCGAGCTTTAGAGCCCAATTTTTTCCAAAGTGAAAAACGAGACTACAAAAGTGTAAAAAACTCACCGAGGAGCAGGACCAGCCACAGCGGCACCAGGCAAATCGCTTTCAACGCTCTCGGGCAGTCCGTTGTCCACATGGTTTATGCTCTCCACTCGGCGGACTGCTGCTGCTGCTGCTACTCTGATCAGGACGAAGGAGTCCTAGTCCTCTGCTCCTGCCGGCTGTTGTATTTGCTCCGTTTACGGTTTAAGGTTTAATAATCTGCAAAGGAGGAAATATTATTACCAGAGCTTTTTATGGGGCCAACGGCCAACGGCGAAGGACGCAGGACGAAGGACGAGCCTCGAAACGAGCTGGGGGAATGGGAAAGTAATTTGCCGGGCAAATGATGAAAGCCAGATATATATCCTCACGGATATGCGGAAAATCATTCGGGGGAGTGGGTCAAGCCAATATGCTTTTCCTCCCCCCGGCCGGGAAATTGCCCACCCATCTCGGCAATTGTTTAATACAGTGCGTTTCATTGCTCTCAGATGGGCCAAAGATTGAATAATAACGATAAACCATAAATACGGCTTTTTAATGACAAATACGGAATGGAAAAGCATGTGAATAATCAAATAAATTTCATGTTATGACATTTATTAAATATTTAACTAAATTTATATAAAACATTAGAACATATAAATTATAAACAATCTAGGTCATTGATTAAACTATTTAGCGCTCTTGTTCAACTCATTATAAAGTTTTAACTTTTTCGAAACTGCGCACTGCAATTATTTCGCGTAATTTTCAATTTAAGCCGAAACAAAATTGTGTGGGTTTATGGAAAAAATTAGAATATAATGCGGCTCTCTAATTGAATTAATATTGAATCGAGCTGGCTGTTCTATCGGATAACAATGAAATTAGCTTTATAACTAGGTCATTTTGCCAGCTGTTGTGCTTTATTTCGACTGCCAAGAATATATTATGAATTAAATATCCCCAAAGATTCAATTCGACCAATTGCACACACATTATTATTTTGCGGATCTCTTCCAGATTCCGACGATTAAACTTAATTTATTGATTCACGGCGACTTATGTGGTCATATTTATGGAGCCCGCTGCACCGCAATTCCAATTAACAGAACAAGGGAGCCATTGCCGTTCGGGGAATACTGAAAACTGAATACTGAAAGCCGTCTGAATGACGGGTTAATGAGGTTAATGCCGGATGTAGCCTCAACTTTCGGTTTCGACTTGGTTGCCAGGCAGCAACAAAATGCGTTTCAGCTTCGCCACAGCAACTGCATTCATGGTCGTGGGGCCAAAAAGGGGGTCGTAAAGGGGGGCGGAGGGGCAAGTTCAAGCATATTCCGTTGCAATGTGGCCAAAGCAATTACGGGGCGACCAAAAAGGAAGGGGGACCGACTGCAAAGGGGCCCCAGCGAATGGTAAACTATGGCAAAAGTCGAAAACTTCGTGAAGGATGAAATTAAAAAGTTTCCCAAGCTCTGAGCTCCTGGCTAAACGACCTTGTCAACTATATAGTTTTATCTGGATAAACTCGATATTGCTTTCAGTCCTTCCTTCCTTGCCCGCCTTCCGTTTCCTTTCCTTTCTGCAAATTTGTCAGTCTGCTGCCATGGCTCCCTTGAGTCTTCGTGGGTGTCCCTCTCATTATTTATGACTCCAACTCGGTAATCAGTCAGTCGGTGGTGTTGGTAAAGGGGGCTCCTAGAGCGGTCTTTCATAATCCAGGTCATTACTCAAAAATATACATTTGTTGTCAGTCCAATTAGCTGCGTGACTCCAAGGGTCAGCACTCCGCCATTTGTTTTGGTCACTTTCGGCCTTTCGGCCGTCGGCTTTTCGGTTGCTTGGTTCCTGCTGCCTGTCGCTTGATTTTCCTGGGAAAGGAAAAAAGGTTCATTTTTTCGCAGCTATTACAGCGGAATTATCGCCTGGCCGAAAGTCCCCTATGCCGCGGCCCTTTCGCTCTCCATGGAAATTAAACAAAAGTTTTTTCCTCCTTTATTTTTTTATCCGGCCAGCGAACAACATTATTCTGTTGTTCTTTTCCTAACTTTTCAGACCTGTCAAACGGAAAAGGCGGACAAAGGGCGACCGCAGTTAGCCCAGTCAGCCAGGACCCTATTTATTGTTTGTTTTCCTCGCTCGGTCGCTCGCTCGTTCAGTCGCTCGTCCTTGTGGCGCATTAAATTAAATTCCTTCACTTACGGGTCTCCGCAATGACTTCCAAATGACACCAACGTCATCCTCTCCTCCGGAGTCCGGAATCCTGGGGCTTCGATGGCTGGCCAATCCCTGAGGTTGATTTTACTGCTTCGACATTCGATTGCGCAATGCGCAATAATTAGGCGGCTCTGCTCGCATTGCTCATTCAACAGTTGCACAATAGGCAGCATTCAACAATGCCACACACAATTCACCAATTCACCAATCGTCGAAACGTCACAGTTCACCAATCAATCCGTTCGACAATGCCAAAAAGTTCGAGGCCCCTTTTGCCTAGGTCTATTTTGGTCTGGCTTACTTTTGGCTTACTGGGTGCGTGGCTTAATAGCGCGGATTTCGAAAATATATCCGCTCGGCGGAAGCGGACACATGGACACAAGGACGCGGACGCGGACGCGGATGCCGATGCGGATGCGGACACGCACACGACGATGATGACAGCGAGGCGAGCGACAAGGACGACGAGGGCTTTGTGTTATTATATTCGCCAATGTGTGTGTATGTTGGCCACATTAGGTGCCAGCCAGAGCCCTATAGGTATGCACACTCACACTGACGCGTACACACTCACATTGACTGGGACTGAACACTCGCACACAGACACGATACAAATATCACGAAGGATACGCGGAGAGAGGAGAGGCATTTTGTGTATCCGTCTCGGAACGTGACCAACGATGGCTCCGTGGGATTTAGTTATTAAACGGCTTTTGGCTTGGGCCTTCACTTCATTCCTTCGTCTGTTTTCATTTTTAAATGTGGCACAATGCGATGTGGCTGTGGTATTGGTAGTGGTGGCACTTTCCCTTTCCCCGTCGGTTCTCCTTCCCTGTGACTGGTTTCTCCGACGGCGGCGGCGGAGCAGCGTTCACGGGCATCCTTGCGGCAGGATTCGCGTGCTGGAACTGATTCCGTGTCTATCTCGGTGGGCTTAAAGGACTCAGGACCGCGACTCCGAATCGAGTGACTCCGAAAACGGACTCTCTCCGGCGCAGGCGCAGGTGAAAAGGTCCTTTCTATGGGGATGAGAGGATTTCCTCGAAAGTCAGAGCATATCAAATATTAATTTGCCATCCATTTGTTGCCGCTTTCTTTGCATGCCTAATGAGCAGTTTTATTTTTAAGGCAAGGCAAGGGTTTTTCTCCATGCTGATTCTTGGTTTTTTTTTATAATTCCGCTCGCTTATCCCTTGGTTTTCCGAGCTAACCACCAAAGCCGGATCGTTTCGCTCTCCATCACATCACTCCGGCTGTCGCTCTCGCTCTCGGCATCTCTGTACTATCTGGGTTATTAGCACAACCTGCCTCAATGCGAGGCAGACTCACGAGGCAGACAAGCGCTCGGCACAGGAATCAAAAAACCGAGTCCAAATCGTGGCCAGACGAACCTAATATGCTCCATAGTCACGTACAAATGAATATTCGTAGTAGCGACGCCTTCGTTTTGGCATATTAATATAGTCTACATTTCGGGGCACAGGCAACGACGCCCCCCATTTTACCCACTCCCCCACTTTTTTGTGTCTTTCTCGCACATGAATGATTTACGCCGGGCCATGGAAATGTGATTTTTACCGCAATATATAGGTATATCGGTATAGGCATAGAGGTATAGCTCTATGGGAATCCTTTTTAGCCATCGAGCCCCCTTCCGCGCAGAAACAATTGAACAGACAGTTATAGGCCAATTTCAGTTTATGTCCATGCGTCGCACTTGAGAGAGATTTGTGGGGCCTTCAATGGGGGAGTTAAGGGCTATGTAGGGGTGTTTAAGGGGACTGTGGGTGTTAAGGGGTACAACCAACACCTGTACCTCGTTGTTGCGCCGACCATGTCAAATGTTGCGTGTTATGGCCCGCAAATGTGGCTGTCGAAAGCGTATCCCCCCGCGCCCAAGAACACCCCAGAACACCCACTACCACCCCCAACTACCCCACCTGATTCAGAAAACTCGGAACGGGCATTTCAACGCATGCCTTACGAGCTCATAAATAAAATGCCCACCCGGTCCGAGGCCGATAAAGTCGAGTGTGCTTGACTGGGGAATGCCCTGTAGGCCTCCGAGCATCAGAACATCAGAACACCAGAACATCGCAATGCAAATGAGCATGGCGCCGGGAAAGAGACAGACGCACTCAGACAGACAGGGACAGGTAGACGCCATGCGAAAGGGACAGAGCCATTGCAACAGAAAATTGACAGACAATGGCCATGTAATTGACGCCACCTAGCGGCCATTACGAATGATTAAAGTTGTTTTGGACCTCCCAATTGCGCGTATGTGTGCGTGGGTATTTCTAGGTTGACATTTGATTATAGAATTCCATTACCAAACAATTGAAATGGGAATACAACGAGTTGGTCAGTGCGAAGGCGGAACCCCACTAAGCAGTTTACAAATTCCATAATTAAGTGAGCACGCAATCAGGTCAAACGGAACACAGAGAAAATAGATCGCTAAGGTGATTTTAAATAAAGATATATATTTACTATAACAAAGATCATATCATATTGGGACCGTTTTTATAATTTAAATATTCTAAAATCTAGAGCTTATTATTTAATTAAATTTATTATTTTGAAATTAAATACTTAAAGACATTTTATTTTAGTTAATTTTTAAAGCTGCACAAACCTAAGCCAAATATTTTAAAATTCCATTAAAGTGCCCACTTTATTAGGTAAAACGAGTAGACGGTTCATTATATCCCCAACCTACTGAGTATCGTGGATATATCGACTTCAAGGCGCTACTTAACGCTTGCTGGCCCATTCAAGAAATCAAATTAGTGGAACAATCTATCCACCCCCTTTTTTCCCACACCCATGTCCCCCTCCCCCACCCGCTGAGATCCTATCTGCTCACCTTTTCGCCAGTGAATTTATTGTTGCCAATTAATTTGTTAAAATTAGTGGAGCAGGCCTTGTCGTTGCCCGTGCATTGTGGTAGTTTCAATTGCCAGCTCCACGGGGGAGGGGGAGGGAGTAGGGGGCTAGAGTTCTTCTTCGTGGAGCTCTGTCTTCAACTGCTTATCGATAAGCGAAAGTGGGCATGGCCCCCAGACGTCGTCGCCTGTGAAATGTATGCCACGTACACGTATTTATCCATTGCTTAGCTCGCCGACGCCATTTATTGCCTCACTGCGAATGGGGCTGTCCCGGGGGTGGGGCTAATGGGGGGCCAATAGGGGTGCAGGGGGCGGCAGGGGCTGCGGACTGAGCCCGCTTCCGCTGCCTTGAATGAATGCTAAATTAATTTCAAATGAATACAAATGGCTTTTCGCTTTTAAGACCAGACGAAGGCAGCGCTGAGAATCGCAGAGCGCAGCAATAAACTCCCCCATCACACAGCCAAAAAATCAAGGGGTCCCTTCTCTAAAGAGCCCTCGAATTTTAAAGTTTATTTCCCCTGCTCAGTCACGAGATTTTTATTCAAAGCAATTTTAAAAATAAATGAATGCCTGATTTTCAATTAGCCCGGAAGGAGATGACGAATTTTAATGCCGAATTGAATGTATCAGAAATAGTAGGTACATTTATTATGGCAATCTGAGTGCAAATAAAATATAAGCAAGATCGAATCGGAGTATATTAATAAAGAGACTTTGGTAAATAAATCAAATTCTGATTTTCATCATTTCAGAAGAAGATTAACACACTTTAGAAGTGAAATAAAATATGTGAAATATGAACATCCTTCAAAGGACGGATGAATGAATTTTATTGCATAAATATTTTAAGTTCTGATTTTCAATTAGTTAAAACATAAAAAATAGTTATGTGCAAGACTGAATAAACCAAATATGGTTAATTTATTATTCCAATTAATTTTTAGTCTTTTATATCTATAAATTCAAGGCAAAATTGTTTCATGCTTAAAGCTAAGATAATATATAATTGCAAATGCAATTACAGCAAACTGCTAAAGAGATTTTCATGTCCTTCCAAACTTAAAGCTATTTCAAAAACCTTGAAACTTTTCCGACTTAATGATGATCTCACCATTTTCTCTCCGTGCCCAACTGAGTCGTTTTGTCTGTCCCTGTCCGTTTTACATTTCTTGTTTCGTTGAAATAACTCTACGTCTGGGCTTTTCCCTGGTCGTGTGGGTGCTCCTACTCCTTGATGTCCACCCTCCTCTGCTTGCCCCGATGTGGGAGATTCCGATTCGTCTACCGGGCGAAGCGTTCCGGGGCCTCGATGTCGAGTTTATCAGATGCACTGCTGGAAATTTACAACGCCACAGTCCGGCCCAGACAACGTGGCCGTTAATTCAATTCAGCGTAAGCCTCTTCGGTCCCTTGGAGTCCCCGGAACCCCTTGGAATCCCTCGAACTCCACACCCCTGTTTTCGGGGGCTATTATCCAATAACTGGAGAACGCGGCTAATCGCGTGAATAGTTTTGGGCGGCGTAATTGATGTTTACGGCACAAGCCCCCCGGTAACCAATTGCAAGCCCTGGCGTAAAATTTCCATTTCGTTGACTAGTTTTGGGGGGCGGCAATGTACACCTGCTGGGTGCTTTCAACGATGCCTTGATTTAATGCATTTCATTGAGCAGCAACCGCCACGCCCACCTAACAAGTGTTCCCCCCTCTATTTGGCCTCCGTCCTTAACTACACCCATTCATTTAACCCCCCGGCCAGCTAACTGGCCTCTCAAATACTTCCAGGCCGGCCACTTTGCATTCATTATTCAATTTGAGCCGCATTTAGATGCCAGCCTGATTAAGATCCCCATTGTGTCGGGCTGGATGAAGGACTCGCAGGACTCGCAGCGAGGTGTCCAAGTAGCAGTCGATCGGGTAAGCCATAGATAGAATAGGTCAGAGCGATGGAAGCGATGCCTCTGCCCGAGCGCATAAATAAACGATGAGATTCCCTTTGAGACGCCACCACAAACTGTCATCGCAACTGGCGGCTGATGGAGATGGAGATGGGTATCGTTGCAAGGAGACGGAATCCGACAGCGAATTGGACTCCGAATCCGTATTGATTGACTCGCTCTGGTTGAGAGCAGCACCAGCGATTTGGTTTCGGATTTTGGGATGTTTATTGGGATGCAAGAGGGGGAATCCTATTGATTAATGCAGTTAATGGCAAATCAAATGCAGCTGAGCGTCCATTAACCAAAGCCACCTTCCGAAGCTTTAAAAAGGTCGTTAAAGAATAAAAACGCTGAGAGCTCCGATTTCTCGGTTGATTTGGTCTTTAGAACTCAGCCATTCCGTTTGCAGCCATTCTTCTTCCTCTTATTTAATTCCAGCAAAAGAGACTCAATGAATTTTCTATTCAAACTTCAAGCTGATTTATTTCCAGCTATTTTATTTCACTATTTAAGTCGATGCAGCAAAATCGAGAAATAAAGCAAAAATGATTTGGTAGTGCGGAACAAATAAATTAATTTAAAAGCTTTTCCACAAATATTGAGGTATGTCGGAAGTTATATTTATAAATTTAAACCAGAAAGAATAAATCAACTCACAGAATAGTGGACAAAAATGTCGTGCTTTATTGTATTCAAAGTTGGAATTTTAAACTAACATAATAAACTTTTCCTAAATCACGTATACGACTGGTTGGGCAGCCACTTCAGAGGGTTTTAATTGAAGAACTTTATTTTTAAGCGATTTATTCATTCATTTAAGGAAATATCGTTTGAATTTCACTTGCAGCTATTTAGTTATCGTGGCAAAATATTGATAAATCCCCTACATTTCAATGGCGATTTCCACACGATCCGAGAGTTGAGTTCGCTCCCCGAAGTGCTTTCACCCCGGAAT